GCGTGTGCCCAACCCTACGCCAAGGGGGTGGGTTCCCGCCTTTGCCCCCTTTGCCAGGTCTGTGGGGTACATGCAACAAGGCAGCGGGGCCCGGCCTTGGCCACCTTTGCCAGGTCTGTAGGGTACACGCAACAAGGCAGCGGGGCCCTGCCTTTGCCCCCTTTGCCAGGTCTGTAGGGTACACGCAACAAGGCAGCGGGGCCCTGCCTTTGCCACCTTTGCCAGGTCTGTAGGGTACACGCAACAAGGCAGCGGGGCCCTGCCTTTGCCCCCTTTGCCGGGTCGGTGGATACATGCAACAAGGCAGCGGGGCCCGGCCTTTGTCACCTTTGCCAGGTCTGTCGGGTACATGCAACAAGCCAGCGGGGCCCTGCCTTTGCCAGGTCTGTAGGGTACATGCAACAAGCCAGCGGGGCCCTGCCTTTGCCAGGTCTGTAGGGTACAGGCAAGAAGCGGGAAGGGGTCAGAAGTGGGCGCTTCGAGGCCTTCCCGCCCGGCAGCCCCTCGACAGGCCTGGCCAATAAGGTGGCAAGGCTGGACCCCTCTGGCGTGGTCCACCCCAGATCCATCCACAGGGGGGGGGGGCCTCCCTCCCTGGTACATATATGTTTAATGTTGCTCGTTCCTTAATAGAATGAAATGAAAATTGTGTACTCATAGTGTTTCCACGATTCTATTATAACTTGGAGTATTAGTATAGTATGATCCCTCGATCCTAGGTTTATTTTTTCCCTCATATCCTAGGCTTATCCCACCAAGCAGCATAGTACTGATAGGATGAGCCAGCCTGATCTTCGCACTTCTTTGATCATTCATGTTCATCCCGCCTACTCTTCATCACTCATTCACTCGTATCTTTAAACGAAAGTAGATTAGTAGTACCTAGTACACTGGCGTACGCATACCCCTAGAGTGGGTACATTCATGCTGTCACACTCAAAAAGTCGTTGATGATAGCTGTTCTGCCCCGCCATTTCCCGCACTCAAAAAGTCCTTAATGATAACTCTTCCGCCCCGTCATTAGGATATCAGTACTATAAGGGACTACTATGATACCCTCATGGCGGATATCAGGATATATCAGGACTATTGCGGAATGATAGTTGCGCCATAACAGCAGTAAGAGTAACTGAGATCGTGGATTGGGAACAACAAAGTATAGGGGAAGAGTGTCGCTCTACCTAAATAAGAAGGGCCCGGAGAAGGTCTTCTATTCTTGGTCGTGTCCCCTCTTCTGATGAGCTTCTAACGAGGGATACAGTGAAGAAGGACCTGGGCTCGCTTATAACCGAATTTCTCACGGAGACATGGCCGAAAATTAAGGCAAGTCTTTCACGAAGAAAATGGAGCATGCATTTGCATATTAGCAAAACTACCCCATGAATGTCTAAGGAACTCCTAGGAGTATTCGAGAGCAGGTTTTGATGTGTACGAAAGTCCAACTTCTCTGCTAACCTTGTGCTGATGTACACCTCTTGTTCTGTTACCAATTTATTCAAAATTCTCTCTTCCAAGTGTCTACCGACATGTTGCTAGAGTCAGCACGGTTGTCTAAATATTACTTCAGAACGTTCAACATCGAATCTAATCCGTCTATTTCTTCCCCTGGCTTATTATTGTTGCACCCTTTCCCTCTGATCTGATAGTAAACGACGGGATGCTCCCTCGGGTATTTACCTCTAGATGTCACTTGTTCATCACCTAAAGCGCTACTCTCTCCGCTTCAAAGCTTATCTAAAATAGAAGGCCTACTGCTACCAATTTACTTTTTAAAGTAGAAGGCCTGCTGCATGCGCATGCCACTACCAATTTTGAAGCAAATCATGTATACTTTTGATTTAAAAGTAGACAAGGCCTGCAACATGGGAACGAAATTGAGGTAACGATGAACGGTACATCCATCGTAGGTACCTACTACATGTATATTGATATTCTCGACGAGGATTGACCTAAGTCCTAGCACTATAGTTCTCGACCCTAAGTAACCGGCTAACTTTCCCTCTATTCCTAGGCTTAACCAGACGTGCAAAATACTATACATAGTTCTAAGGAAGATTTCGGGAAAGGTGAAGCGAGGCAGTTGGCGGCAACTCTGCACGCTGCCAAAAAAAGTTTCCTTAAGCTTTCCTTATTTTTAATACTCCTTGTTCCACCAATGAAAAGGTCCTAGGCGTTCGACACCTAGGCCCTCGGTCATCTAGACGTTCGACACGTAGGCCGTGTTCACGTTGCCTAGAGGACCCCGCAGAGTATAAGCGTGACCTTGGCAAGGTGGTCGACGTGCTGGTGCAGGCTTAATGATTTAATATAACTCGACTCGTCCTTAAGCTCGACAGTCAGGTCGAGAACACACAGAAGTAAGGTAAGCACGCGATTCCTGTTCATTTCTGTCGAATGAAGGCGCATGGCGTGAGCTATGTGTCGATTGTTAGTTTGCGATGGCTGAGCGAGAACAATTCAGTCTACAATTCAGTCTCGCTAAGCATCACGACTCGGCCTAACAAACTATGTGTGTGTACTACTCCACGACTACACTTCTACTGCTTACTCCTCTTAGTTCTACTCCACTACCACTATTTGAAGTTCGCACGTGTTTCTTAGATAGTGCAAATGCGAATACACAGAGATGAGTAAATTAGCCGGCTAATTTCCCTCGATAGTTCGGGGGTCGAGGTCGTTCGTATTTCCTTTTCGCAGTGTAAATTAATAAGAATACTTTTATTTTTGTGCCTTTGTTTGTAAGTGAATACTTCCATGCATAGTGAATACTTCTACTGTGCCTTTGTTTACAAGCTAGCATCAAGCACTAATCACACCTGTTTCCATATACTACATTTATAGTCAGATGATGGTAGCCGCGTTGGCGTGTCTGTATACTTCAATTAGTGTATCTACTTGTTAGCGCCTCGCGTGTAGATTGAGTGAAGGCGCCCTATCCTATCCGACCCTATCCCTGGAGTGGGTGGCACCTTCTCACTCGTTCATATCATACATATATATAAAATTCCGAAACCCTCTTCTAATGAGTAGAAGGATGTTGAGGCCATTTTGCGAGAGGGTATGGCAGGGATAAAAGTTGGAGCGGACTGGAAACGAGCAGCCGAACAGTCTAAAGAGAAACTCAGTGATCTTGCCCGAAACTTCGCTCACACTGTACGGCTCAACTGTTTAGTTGTGACACTTCAACTTGATTTCGTCATGGTGTTGCTAAGATTATACTTTTTTATTTTCGGGTCTTCTTCGGTTCAAAATATTATTTTCGGGTCTCCGTTCAATTCCAAGTATTTTCAGGTACCAAAAAATAATTCTCTTTTTTCTATATTAAGAACAAACTTGCCTTGGCTTCAAAAAATTCAAAAAGTTCATTCTAAAAAACGTCTTACTCGTAAGCCAAGAGGACGTGGCTGCGGATCCAAAGGTGGTCGAGAACGTCAAAGCGTTGCTGACGCAGACTTTTGGCGACAAGTCTGGCGACGCTGTGACGGTAGTTAAGTCCTCTAAGTATAGACTCCTGTGGAGCTATAACTAGAAAAAGAAAATTACAAAGGAAAGATAAATTCTAAATAGAACAGCTGCAACGCGCCCCATGAAATTATGTTACATTTTCCTCTCCTTAGAAAAAGTACTTATACAGATAGAGTAGAGCTTACAGGTGCAGCGACGCTCAGGGCACTACGATGAGTAGCCGGCTACATTGCCTCGTCTTATTCCCAACTCTTATCTGATCTGACCTCATGATATAGCGTTAGCGGTAGTTACTGTAGTGTGTGATAAACAGGACCTCTCTGGTGTTACTGCCAATTTGTTTGCCACCGTGCTCCGGATGAGTTAGACTCATTGTTTTTCTACGTGCCCAGGGGAATGCGTGCGCTATCACTCCTCCCACCTGTTATATTAGATGAAGTGCCTGAGTTGAACTGCATTCCCTTCACAGGGTACTCCGTAGTCTAGTATCTTCATCTGTATGCGAGAGGGTTCGTAGTCTAGCTTTCTTCATCGATCTGCATTCGAAGGGTTTATTGGTCTAGTTTTCTTCATGATCTGCATTCGAAGGGGTTAATAGATAGTCTAGCTTTTTTCATCTGTATTCGAAGCAGTTAATAAATAGTCTAGTTTTCTTTATCTGTATACGAAGGGGTTCAGGGTCTAATCGAAAACCGAAAATTTTCCGAGTTACTGACTGAAATTTGGCACGTAGCTTTTAGCGGCTACTTCTCCTTGCTTCCTTCAGTATCGCGCTTATTCTCGTCTGCTACTTGTTTAATTCGGTTTATCGAATAAGTAGTTTTCTTCGACGTCTGGGAAATCTTAGGCAGATCGCCGAGTAGATTCAAGTCATCAGCTTTCTTCGACGTAGGATCGATCATGTTTTTCAACATTCTAACCTGGGGATGGCCGACAACCGATACCCGCTGTACGCGTTTGTGAAACAAATCTTGGACCAGGATCTGGATAGAAATTTAAGCTTACTTTCAGCAGTCTGCGTAAGTAGTAGTTAGATGTCTTCCAATGTAAGTAAGTAGTAGTTAGATGTCTTTCAGTGTATTTAAGTAAGTAGAAGCCAGATGTCTTCCAATGTAAGTAAGTAAGTTAGAAGCCAGATGTCTTCCAATGTAAGTAAGTAAGTTAGAAGCCAGATGTCTTCCAATGTAAGTAAGTAAGTAAGTGGTAGCTAGATGCTACCGGTGCCGAGATGACGCCAAGTTAACCCCCGGCCTCCTTCTAAAACGGGCAAACGAAATGGTAACTCGGAGGGTGCAGGCTCTCAAGGAAAAGGAGCTCAAGGGGAGGTAGAGTCGCGAGAAGTAGTTGGAATCTGAGTTATGTTCACTTTAGTACAGAGGCTTCTCAGTTACAGGAGAAGCTTCTTATTCGCAGAAGGTGCCACTAACACAGCGTCCTTTGTAAGAATTTACCACTCCAGCGCGAGTGAGGCTCAATTTCATTTTCGCCAGGCTGTCGCACTTAGCGTTCTAGCTGGAGTGAATCCCCTTGAAATCTTGAAATGATCACACCCAGACCATGTCTCTGCGGGTGCTACGGACAGCACTATCAGGGGCATACACATGCCATACTACTTAATATGTTGATGCTCGTCCTTAATTTATAAGAGAGGCATCTATCACGTGGTGAACGCTTTCAAGTAGGGACAAAAGGTCAAAGATGCGACTCTCTAATAGAAGGACTAGTGGACGAGGCGGGTTCAGAGGGGGTAGTGGACGATGCGGGTTCAGAGGGGGTAGTGGACGAGGCGGGTTCAGAGGGGGTAGTGGACGAGGCGGGTTCAGAGCCGGTGGCGGGGGCAGCCTAGCAGATGGCATAGCTTTCGAGGAATAAGTAGTTCCATTTGAGATAATATTATTGCTCTTGTTGGACAGCCGCTGTCTAGTATGCGTATCAGATCGGATGTTCTAGGCGGGACTATTTCTATCTAGACAAGAGCTAAGTACTGCCAGTTTCGTGTCTCTCTTCGCCAGCTTTTATCCTCATTCAACAGCAGATGTCAGTTTGTATCCTCGTTCAAGAAGAGTAGAGTCATGATTACAGGAGCACAAAATTTTTAATATGAGTGTTCAAGATGAAGAATAATATCTATCAACTTCTAACAGCAGAAGCACTACAATTATGTGTATCATCTATGTCTACTATAGCTGGTGTCGTAATTAGCTACGACGCATTCATCCAATTGCAATTACAATTTTCAACTCAGAAGTAGTACAGGAATTACAGCGTGAATTACTATGTTCGATGTAGCACGACAGTTGCAATCTCGACAAGAAGGAGCACCTGTGTGTACCACAGTGACAAGCAGAAAAAACACCTTAGCTTGTACACGTGAAAAGTAGTAACAGAATTTTCAACTTTCAGCATCACAGAATTTGCCCGAAAAAGCACATGAGCAAAGGAGGTATAAGTTGTTATAGGACCACTACAATGGTAAGCAGACTGTCACGGTTGTTGGTTTTTTTGAAGTCAGTGTCTACAATCACGTAGAGGAGCAAACTATTACTAAGATTACAACGAGACAACAAGAAAGCAAGGCTGTACAACTACAACGACGTTAGATTTTGCTGATCATTCAGTGTTAAAAGTGTTACGTTCTTCACAACCGGAACGAGGCAACGAACAGGAAGACCCAATATTAAATCGTGGCGAGTCTCTGTGCGAAACCCTGTGGAAGGTAGAGACTGACCCCTTAGAGGGAGCTACTGTTCTTCTCTCAAAACGACTTCCAAAAGGATCACTCCCATCCTGTCCTATTCCTCATCTGTCCATTGCAGTACCCCTCAGCTGTCCACTGTACTCCACCTGCCGCCAGTTTGCGAACTGGATAACACTGAGGCCACTCTTTCAGCAGCCCCAGAATACAAAAAAGCGGAGGCAACTACAGACTACAAAAAAGCGGTCTATAATCTAGCTGAGGCAGGAGCAGCGTCAGCATGCCGCCCTATGATCTCTCGTCGATGTCCTGTGAGTCTGTCCTGTGAGTCCTCGTGTTGGAAGTTCTAAGTGGTGCCCCGAATATACTGCTGCTGGAGTAGCAACCATTATTTTGTAATACAGAGAAACTGATATCTGTTTTTTGAGTGCGTGCGGGGGTGTTCCTCTCTGTTGAGCGATGCTTTCTTGTCTGTGAGAGTTGACGAAGCCATCCCCTTGAGTCGAGAGAGCTACCATCTGTCTATGAGAGGCATCTGTTGCTTTATCCACTAGCCTATGTAAGTTTTTACAGCATACACTTCATCTGGGGCCTCTATATTTGTTTTTACAGCATTTCTAGTTTTAGACAGCTGTCAGTCAGAACTCAAGATTGGCTACTTAACTAGTGGCTTAGGTCCAGCGACGCTTAAGGTCTTCTTAGGGAGGATTTGCAACCCTCCCTACACCGGTTCTGATAGGCTGACTGTAGTAGTAATCTTGGGGTCTAGGGTGTACACAGGTCTTCCCCTTTTCTGGCTGGGCTAGCCTCTTTTGGTCCCTCCCTCTACTACATGTTTAAACTTTCCCTGTCTTTGTTGTCCAAATCTAGTGTTCTTACTTCAGCTCTTCAAGCGCTGCACTTTCCCTATTCATTCTCTTATTTCATTATAACTGCTAATAAACTAATGGTTGTTCCACCTTTGTAATACAAGCGAAATCCATAGGCCAAATCCAAAAGATCCATGGCTTCTGCTTTTGTAACTAGAAACCCTGATTGATTGATTGATTGATTGATTGATTAAAATTTGTTGTTGTATATCTACTAAAGTGTCATCCATCAACATAGTTAGTTACTTTATGTCGGATTCAAACAACACAACTTGAAGTTTGTCTGAGTACTTTCTAACCCATGGCGGCAAACTGCTTCACCTTCTCGAGCTGTTGATAAATCTTGGTTGGTTCATCTGCATATTGATGAGAATCGTGTCAGCATCTTCGTCGAACGGCCTCGACTGCAAGATTGTGACTACTACCGGTGTCACGCTTGTTGGGGCGCTTGTGGTGGTTATGGGCAGTGGAGTATTTTCCCTCTCTCCTTATGTGCTAGACTTGATCGCCCGGGAGCACTCCTCCCGCGAGGGTCGTCCACCTCCGGAGCGCACTGCCTCAGTCCCGGCGTGATTCCGCTTCCCCGGCTCCTCTCTCCCCCGCCCGAAAATCGTCTGGCGACGTCGATCGCTGGCAACAGAGTTGGGCGGGGGACGGCGTGCGGCCGTTGATTAAAAAGGCACCGACCGAAGCCGCTTGCTTCCAGATCTACCCGGCTTTAGGTAGGTTTGGCCTTCTTTGCCTGCAAGTTGCAGCGCTCGAGTTTGCAACTTGTGAAAATTCCGCTTCTTGTGATACAATCACTTACTTCGGATGGGAGTCCTTGAAGTTTCTTTTTTATTATATAGAAGCAAGAGCGCTGGACCCCCATCATGTCTCAAACTTGAAACTTTGAGACATTGGGGCGTGACTTTTAATCTCAAGCGTTCAGTTTTGGCTTGGGCTATTAGCTTTGGGCCTTCGCCTTTGGGCTTTCAGCTTTGAGCTCTCAACTTGGGGCTTTCAACTTTGAACTTTCGACTTTGGGTCTTCAAGCTTACGCTTTCAGCTTCCAGCCAAAAGCGTTCAATTTGATGAAACCAGAAAAAAAGTCGATAAAATCAGAAACTTAAGCTTTTTGTGCAAAATTTTTGATTTTAACGCCCATGAATTGAATTAAATCGCAGTGTGCTTTATTTTAATAAATGTTATGCTCGACGCCGTGAGAGCGGTTTGTGTGTTGTGTTTGTTGGTTGATTGGAAAAGGGGCGGAAAAGGTTGCGATGGGGGTCGCATGTTTTTGGTTCGAGTGTTTTCGGTTCAGATGTTTTTGGTTCGGTGTGTGTCGCGTTCGGATGTTGGCGGGGTCGTTGTTGATTTTTTATTTAGCTCTTTAATTTTATCCTTGCACATGCGCATCTACGCCATAGGTGGACCCCGCCACAGCTAACAACCTATTGCCCCGATGGGTCGGGTCGATTATCTTAGTCTTTTTCAGTCGATGTACGATCGGATTGATTGTCTTAGCCCGCATCGTCCATATCAATTTTCATCAGAATGCATCCACATCGAATATTAGTGTACTATTTACATGCGAGGGCCTTGATGCATAGTGTACATAGTGCACTGTACATGCGGAGACCTCCTCCACGCCCTTCTTTTTCAATGCGTTTGCGAAGAATACGCTTTTTTATCTGATTGCGGTAGAGACCCGGCCCTTTCTGGTTCTTTCTTTAAATCCCTTAAGCCCGTCTCATAGCCTTGCTATTCTCCTCGTGGAGAGCAAGAACTACAAGGAACTACTCTGATGTGGATGACGATGACGAACTGTCTCGAGAAGCGCTCTCGCAAGGTACTTACGCGAAGAAGACCGTAGTTCTGAACACTTCGTGCAATCAGTTCTCATCACACAATCTACTTCGATGTTCATGCTTCTCTCTCTGTCCCAGGATCGTGTGATGCCATGTAGTAGATCATCAGACGGAATCCGCCATACTAGAGTGAGGGTAAGCCTGTGAAGCTCGTAGAGTGAGAATGAACAATGATCCGCCATACTAGACTGAGAGCAGAGAATCTCATACTAGAGTGGTAGACAGTTACACGAGAGTGAAAGTGAGACTGTGGAGGTGGAGATCTCTGGCTTGCTTCTAGATGTCTATTTCTCCACTGGGTTGTTTCAGACGAGTTATCGCTACAAAGAGGTGAACTATGTGGAGATCTCTGTTTTGCTTGGATTAACCATGTCCTTTTCTCCGCAGCTTCCAGAGTGAAGAGGAGTGAAGCACGCGCTGCTATGAACGCTCTCCTAATTTTACTTATATAATACTTACAACTGTCCTGTAATAAGGATTCTGCTCATCTCGTGTAAAATAAGACTCTTGACCATCTAAGGATCAAGAGCTTATATAATACTTACAACAATAAATTTGCTGAAGATGAACTAACGCGGTGAGCAAGATCTTCGTATTAAAGACTTCCTCGCCCATTCTTCAATCCTACAACCCACAAACAGGAGACAACCCCAGGCTTTCTTCTCAAGCTTTCCACTTTTTCCCAACTGGATTAAGTGCAAAATTCTTCAAAAAGCAAACGCAAAATGTAATATCAGTCTATCATTGTACTCCATAACCGTAAAAACAACTAGCAGAGTTTATTTTCATTTCATCCGAAGCAGTTCTGAAATTACTTACATCATCATCGCCATCCTCGCACTCAGAATCTTCCGTATCTCAACAGAATAATTAAGGGTAGTACAACAGCATTTTTCTCATCCACAATTGATATTCAATTCATTTCATTCATATTTCACAACTGTCTGTTCGCTCACTGATGTCAAACTAATTAATTAACTCTGACGCATTACTACTAGCTTGGAGCGTCCGATAACATCCCTCCCACTAGGATCCTCCTCCTCCCCAAAATAAGAAAATAAACAAGGCAAAAATGTAAGCGATACGCGTTGTCAAATTTCGAAAATTTTCCACGTTTTGCCATCGTTTGCGGATTGGATCTCGTGCGTTTGAAGTCAAGCGCTAAGATCCCAAAACTTTTGGACTTTAAGCCCTTCCGCTGAAATTCAGCTTCGTGCTTGGATTTGCATTCTTCAAATTTCGAAAATTCTCCACGTTTTGCTGTCGTTTTGGGATTGAATTTCGTGCGTTTGAAGCGCTAAACTCCCAAAATTTTTGATTTTAAGCCCTCTCCCTGGAATTCAATTTCTTGGATTTGCATTTTTCAAAATTCGAAAACTTTCCACATTTTGCCGCCGTTTTCGGGTTGAATTCCGTGCGTTTGAGGTGCTAAGATCGCAAAATTTTTGATTTTAAGCCCTTTCTCTCGAATTTAATTCCTTGGATTCGCGTTTTTTCAAATTTCGAAGATATTTTGAACCCTTTCCCTGGGATTCAATCTCTTGGCGTCGCGTTTTTCAAATTTCGAAAGTTTTCCACCTTTTTCGTCATTTTGCGAGTGAGTCCGTTGATTTTGAAGAGCTAAGACCCTAAAATTTTTGATTTTAAGCCCTTTCCCTGGAATTTAATTCCTTGGATTCGCGTTTTTCAAATTTCGAAAATTTTTCACGTTTTGCCGTCGTTTTGAGATAGAGTCGCGTGAGTTTGAAGCGTTAAGATCCTAAAATTTTTGATTTTAAGCCCTTTCCCCCGAAATTCAATCCCGTGGCTTCGTGGTTTCGTGGTTTCGTGGTTTCATGGTTTCGTGGTTTCATGGTTTCATGGTTTCATGGTTTCATGGTTTCATGGTTTCGTGGTTTCGTGGTTTCATGGTTTCATGGTTGGTTTCCTGGTTTCATGGTTTCCTGGTTTCCTGGGTTCGTGGGTTCGTGGGTTCGTGGGTTCATGGGTTCATGGGTTTGGGGTTTGGGGTTTGTTTGTTTTTGTGTCGGAGGTTTTGGGTTCGGGTGTTGGAGGTTTTGGGTTTGGGTGTTGGAGGTTGAGGTTTCCGAAGGGATCTGTTTGCAAAGTTTTATTGCTCTTAATATTAGACACGAGAAGTACCGAATTAACTACTGAATTCACATTCACTACAATTGCATTCATTATTATCTTCACCACTAATATTATTCTTCTGCTCGCTCACTGATGTCAAACTAATTCATTATAACTCTGACGCATTACTAGTAGACGCGAGAAGTACCGAGTGAACTATTGAATTTACACCCACTACAATTGCATTCATTACTATCTTCGCCACTATTATTCCTCTGTTCGCTCACTGATGTCAAACTAATTAATTAACTCTGATGCATTACTAGTATTACACACGAGAAGTACCGAGTTAACTATTGAATTCACATTCACTGCAATTGCATTCATCATTACTATCCTCACTACTATCATTCTTCTGTTCGCTCATTGATTCGCTTCGTCGTCATTTGCTATCAAATAGTTGTTACTTCAAGCAGTGCATATTGTCATCACAACTATCAACATTCTTCTGTTCGCGCACCGATTTCATTGCCATTTAATGAAAAATCAAACCAGGCTACAGCATATCACTCGTAACTAGAATACAGCATATCTGCACTCCTAATTGCATTCAAGAATACCATTTCAGCTTCTCATATAATATAAATAATACGATCAGGTAGTGTAACGCATAAAAGTACGCGCAATTTCTCCATTTTTCACTCAATACCAACACGAAGACGCTGCTAATCACGCGAATCACTCACAGATAAAGGCAAGCATACTAGAATACAAGCATACGCACTCAATACAAGTTGTACACACTTTTTCAATCTTGATAGATTAGCATATCTATTTTTTTGCTATTGATTCGATTGTTTTGAAGACACCCCAGAAACAAGAAACCAACGACATCGACGGAAGTCGGTTCACACTTATAGCCACACTCACAGCAGGACATCAAGTCGATTCATTGGCACCAACACCAACCGCACTGGACAACGACCATAGGAGGTACAACTAAGTTAACAACTAGGGCTGCATTGTGATAGGTGAGACGGAAAATTGTCAAGGGAATACTTATAATTCGAGTCTTCAACAAGAGCTCTAGTATTTTTACAGGTCCAGTCCTCTCCGGTTTCATCGTACACTTGCCTTTATTTTCAGGTTCTTTCTGAAAAGAGTGAAAACTCATCGGACGACGAGAGGTTGACTTGTACACGCACGCTTCAACTCAAAAAGACGCTAACGCTGTTTATTTCAAGACAAAGAAAGGTATCTTCTGGTTGTGGACAATATTTTCGGATATTCTTTTTAGGCAAATAGAAGCACTAGTACACGATCAGCATAGACCTTGGACACTACGACTTCCTTCCGCAGCGCTTCCTTCTACTTCTACTTCGCAATCTCTTTCACTTCTAAATCACGCACCAACCAACCAACTAAGACCTGCTGCCCGCAATCATCTTCTAAGGTAACCAAGACGCGACTATTGCTTGTCGCAGAATACAGGAGCTTCAACGAACTCCTCCATCTCCGGAGGCAGGTCCTTCAACCCGAAAGATTCAGATAGTAGGCAGGAGGGATCCAGGAATCATTCAAGAAAGTCTCAACTCTGCTTCATAGGACCAATTCTGGTAATGTTTTTCTATCCAGACAACCGATGATGCATATGAAGGAAGATCGATATACTTATTCGTGTATTATTCGTGTATAATTAGCAATACTAGTTGGTGACGTTTTCTTTGGTTTTTAACAAACTACAGATGATGCTCTTACATGCTTTCTTCCACACATCCACACACATTACCACAGTCACCAGGTACGG